GGGGGGGGGCGTTGCTACTGGCATCTAGCAGGCAGAGGCCAACAATACTGTTAAATATTCCTAAATGCACAGGGCAGCTCCCACAAGAAACAATGCTCACCTGTTGAGAATATCTTTTTCTTTTCTGTTTAATCCTCACCTGAGGCTATTTTTTTAATGTTGATTATTTAGACAGAGGGGAAAAGAGAGAAACATTGATCACTTGCCTCCTGTACAGGCTCCTACCTGGGATGGAACCCTCAGCCTAGGTATGTGCCCTGATCGGGAATTGAACCCACAGCCTTTTGGTGTATGGGACAATGCTCCAACCAACAGAGCCACTCAGCCAGGGCAACAGAATCCATGCTCAGTGATGGGAAATGTGAGCCATCCTTGGCTGTGAGCAGATTACAGACACCTTACTCTGCATGTTACTGGGGCCACAATACGGCAGTGTAAAAGCCAGTCAAGACAAACAGAAACAGGATAAAGACAGAGAGCTATCACTTCCTTAGTCTTTAGGCCTTTAGGCGCTTGGTCAAGAAATGGAGGCGCGATGGGGCGGATGCAGATTCTAGGCAGCAGCAGGTTCCTCCAGCTGGGGTTTACTAATACGTCGCTGGTGGTTACTGGTTTTTAAATCAGGGTTGGAAAGCACATCATTTTTACTTCCCCAACTCCTACACACACACACACACACACACACACACACACACACACACACACACACAAACACCCCTGATCTGTGCTTCTGGTTTTTAATCTAGGCCATGTAAATGCAAAATGGCCTGGCACCAACTTACAGGGACCCTGCTGCAAAACAGCTGTTCTCAGGGAAGAGCTGACGGGAGGGACCACCTCTGGCTCTACCCAGCAGCTGGTCATCAGAGGCTGATGTCCTCTGGGCCTGGACTTTGGAGGCGGAGGCCAAGCAGGGAAGGTCCTGGTGGGCGCTGAATGCAGTGCTGCCTGAGTTGAGGGCTGGCCTCCTCTGCCTTTTAATACTTAGTGACAGTGGCAGATACTCATCAGCAGTGGCCACAGAGGAATGTAACAATGTTTATAAAGGAAAATTTGCCTCCTGTAAAGGCAATCAGACAAGTTGAGATACCAGAGAAAAGTCAAGTTCTCATTTGGAAAACTTAGAAAAAGATGGGCTAACAGTGTTGGGGGGAAGCTTTTTCATCAAATCTTTCTGTGTCACAGTTGGGGCATCATCCTCATGGAAATTCTGACATCACCAGATTGCTCCACCTCTGCTGGGGAACTTGGTTCTGGAATTCCACAGCCGTGTCTCTTAGATAAGCTGCCATGGTTAATTACTCCTGTGCGAAGAATTACTGCTTTACGAAGCTTAGTTTGCCCACTACCTGGTCACCAACCATTTCGCTGATTTTGAACAAACTTTGAAATAATTTGGTCGCTCATTATGATGCTCCCTGATAGTCCACCATCTCTTTCCTAGCTGCATGGGTCTGTGCCAACCTATTGTCTGTCCTGAGAGGTAAATCTGCTTTTGTTGGCCAACTCCCAACTGCTGCCTCCACCATAAGCTAGTTGCTGTGTAGGTGTCCCCTTCAAAGCCACCACTGACCACGTGGCTCTGTGCTCTAATGACAAGAGCAGCCCTTGCCTCCCTCGCCCCTCCCCTAGAAGTTATCATCAGTATGTGGTAGCAGCAACGGAGGAGATCCGGGTGAAGACCCAGGTTGTAGTTATGTTGAGATTTACAGACTGTCACTGGTGGCTGTGGCAAGGTGATGGGCCCCAGCACAGGCTACTCCTGACCTGTGTGTCACACATCCCCAAGCCAGACCCAGACGACAATCACGGAAAGCATCTCTATAGCTTTAGGCAGAAAGACTAACACTGTTTAGATGATAGAGCAATCGCTACTGAGGCTCTCAGGGCCTCCCCACGTGGGGCCCTCAAGATTCCTGCTCAGCTCAAACATCTGCTTCCTCATAGGTTTGCACAGGTTATCTGAGATCTATGGCAGATGCCAGATTGGACAGTCACCAATTTCAACTTATTTTCTGCAAAATGGCCCAGCAAATTAGCCTCCATGCAGGGGATGCTTGTTTTCGATAAACTCCTCATTGTCTTTCCACTCAGTGCAGCCATCATCTGCCAGCAGAGCCTTCTCTCCCCAAGTGAGAAGTAAATATGCCCCCTTCTGCAAAAGACTGCCTTGGGGATACTGATTCTATATAGGTCTCTCCTTCTAGATCATTGGCCGCTATGGAGGTCAAAGCTCAAGTATTTCTCATCTTTATGTGTACAGGACCCAGCACAGGGCCTAATACACACTTTATAAATAATCAATATATAGTTGTAAATGGAACTAAACCAATATATTTAATCAGTGGGCCTTGATAGCTTGATATCACTACTGTAAATAGAGACAAAAAGCACGGAAGACTGAATTCACATGTGAAGTGCCTCACCCCTATCATATCACCCCCATACACGTGTTCCCACACACTCTGACAGTGGGCCCTGGAGAGGTACACTTTATGACCACGAGCAATGACACAATCATACCCCAGAATGAAGGCTTCCTGTGCAAGTCTGCAGCATTACCTGTGAATGGACTGTGTGTCTGTACCTACCCATCTAGAGTTGAAAGTTACCCATCCACACACACATGCCTGGGAATATGCTGAAGGTTCTCCTGATCCCCTTAATAAAGTGGCTTCCTCATAAAACCTGGCTTTGTACTCCATGGAGATTACAGACATAAAGAAACTTACAAACCAGCATTCACTGCCCTCTCCAACAATTTAGTACAGAAGATTGGCTTTTTCTCCAGTCTGTTGCTGGGTGGTGATGTGGCATCACTGAACTGGGTACAACAGAATCCAATATAAAGGCCTTATTAAAGGAACTCAAGCAGCCGACTGATGCCAACTGGATAAACTGTGCTATTTGCATACCTGTGGGAGCACACACACTGACCTTTTAAATTGTTTCATGCACCGTGATTTTAATTCAGGTTTAGTTTGATCTTTCAGATTCCTGCTTCCTTCATGGTTGAAAGGCATTCCGTATTCATCTGACATAATAATATGAATAATCTGTCAAAGCAGAAACTTGTTCTATTATTTTCTGCAGCCTGTAGTTTATGCCACATTCAGCTAAAAAGGTGTGAGGGTTCAGCAGTGAACAGGGTGGCTGAGAAAACACTTTGAGGAGGTAGTGGAGTCGATCAAAGCCTTTCAGGTAATCTTAAGAGGATGTTTCATGTGTTCTTGATTCACAGAGATGGAAGGGACCTTAGAGAGCATAGATGGAAGTCACTCGCCTCTGGGCCATGACAGAGAACACTCTTTGAGCTACATGGATGCAAGTGTCATTCAAGAAAGGAGATTCTTCTAGCCATGGGAGGTTTTTAATAACCTTCCTTACTAGAAAGGTCTTCGTACATCTGACCAACATTTTTCATATCGCGGTTTCTCTGCTGAGTTCCTTTTTTCACAGTGGAGATGAAAGAAATCATTCACCACCTTCTTACTGCATAACAAGCAACTATAAGACTCTCCTCATTACCACTAGGCATTGTTTCAGTTCTGTTCTCTCTTCCAATGCACTGATCATCATTGTTATCGTCACAATCCTGGCCAAGTTCCCCAAATTCACAAATATCAACTTTTGGAGTATATCATTTACGGGAACTCAGTAGCATGAGTAATGAGGTGGTGACTGCTTAGTCCTGGAGTGTTATGTAGGGTGAATATTTTTCCAAATTGGATTTGCTTTAGAAAACCAACATTTATTTAAACATCTCTCATGTGACAGGCACAGTGCTAATTTGTGAGCTATGTTTCCTTTAGATCATTCTGCCAGAAAAAAATTAATTCAACCTGGAGAGGTGGAGGAGCCAGTGTAGGTTTCTCAGGGCTTCAGGCCCCAGAGGCTGGATGAGGGCTGCAGATTTGGGCAGGAACTACCATGCAGAGAGGCCTTTCATACATGTTTCTTACACCAGTGACTGTTTTACATCTTTTCCTCTATTGCCATTGAATTACAGAACACTGGGCTGCCATAATAGGAAGGTCATTGGAGCAAGTCCACAACGTCAGGCATGGTGATAGCTTACCATCCAGGAAAGAGTCCAGCTCCACCACTTACTACTCCTGGGATGTTGGAAAAGTTGTCTAACCCCTAAGAACCTCAGTTTCCTTCTTTGTGATGTAGGGTTGTTAATTAGTGCATTATATACTTTTCTGAGGATTATGTGAGATAATATATGCAAAGGGCTTAGCACATGAAAGCTATTATTTTATACAATTGTCTATTTGCTAGTTAGAGCTTTCTAGGAATGGAATCACTGTATCTATTTTCTTCCTTAGACCCAACTGAAATATGTCCAGTTTGAGGTGGCTTTTGTTGTAGTTGTTGACTTCTTTCCATGTCCTCTATTTACAGTTAGTCAAATGTTTGAAGACTAGGCACAATCATAGGGAACTTTCCATATACTCTACATACCTTATCCCATTTAATTCATCTTCTGTTCTCCCCCTCTGGAGCAGTTATCCCACAGTGGTCCTACGTGAACTGGCTAGGGCCCTATCCCACCTTAACTGTTTATCTCTGAAAAAAATTTGGCCTTTGATTAATATTTCCCTCCCCAGAAGGAGATAGTTAAAATCTGCCTAGACCAAGATGGCCATGGAATTGGCCTCCAGGAGACCTCACACCTTTGGACCATCACCATGATGATGATGACTGGAAGGGGCCATAAAAGGACCAAAAAAGAGGCAGAACCCTGATTCTGAGATGACCACCATCCGTTTCCCCTTATTTCCTAGGTAACTCCTTCATCTCTCTCCTCCTATATCCACAACCAGTCCCATGAGAAGTTGATCTGAGGGCTACAAGGCTCCCATGTCTCCATTCCTTGGCCATTGAGTTACTAAATAAAGCTTGTGCTATTAATGCTCACTTTCAGTTTCATAATTGGCTTTGCAACACCTAACAGAGAAAGAGCCCACTTGGGGTCTTGGTAAGGGGGATTTCCCCTCTTCGGTAATAAAGCATATCACAGGTGAGAGAACCAAGACTCGGAGATGTCAAGGAAGTCCCCTGAGACCACGCTCGTAGAGCCTGAATTCTAACCTAGCCTTTCTTCCCTTTTCCTTCGGTCATGTTGCCCACATGACACATATCTAGGCTCTCTTCTGTAGACTAAATAATCCCCTTCTCTTCTGTTTGGCAATCAACTACTGATAAGATATATATAATTTTAGAAACATAAATCATGTTCTTATTTCAAATCCTTTTTGGAATGAATAATAATGGTGATGTTGGGTTACATGTGAAAGGTGTGTTTTAAATATGAGTGGAAAATTAAACCAATGATTAGTAGTAGCAGGTCCAAATTATTTCAGGTTTCGTTAGTTTTGACCAAGTTAGAAGGATTAATATTTTCCATCTCATGACACCTTTACTTACAGGTTAACAGGCTTTAACTCAACATGATCCTGGTAGTAGGAGTGAGCATCAAGTCCACCTATGAAATCAACTGAAATATAACATAGCCCAATATGAATAAACGTGTAAATAAAAACACACATCAGAGTAGGTGTTTAAATACAAATAATAGTAAAAAAAAATATCTATCACAAAACGGGAAAAATGTGTGTTTAATATAAAGGACAGCTCAAAATATTATCAGGGGTCAAAATATGGGGAAATCTTAAGAAACACAAAGAAGGTAGCATCTTAGGGACTGAAAAATCACAGCTGCTATTGGTTTCAGTGAAAAATGAAGTCACATTAAATAACATTAGATTTAAAATAATGTGTTTGTCCTTAGGCATATAGCTACACCCTTTCCCCCTATATATCAAAAGCTCTATCTTCCCATCTTGTTGCCAGAATCCATTTTTATTCTCAAGAATATTTATTGCATCATTAGAAAGGTCTTTGAGAATTCACATAATCTATGTTCATGCCTTCTTTCCTCAAACCATCCCTGACAAATAGGCATCTGCCTTTTGCAAAGGTTTCATCTCCTCTTTGGTAGCACAGTACTTTTCTCACAGTGTGTACAGAATCACTGTTCTTGGTACTAGTCAAAAGTTCTTCCTGTCTCGATCACAGCCTCTGTCTTGCTTTTCTAATCCTAATGTCCATGGCTAATCTCAGTTCATTTTCCTTGTTTTTTTGGTAGTCCATTAAAAATATTAATTACTTTGCACCAAGCATTGCTTTTATTCTAGTACTCCAACATTAGCAGGTACATATGTATATAGGAACACTGAACTCTCAGTGTGTGTGTGTGTGTGTGTGTGTGTGTGTGTGTGTAGGTACACAGTATATGAAGGGTATTAAATCATATCAGCTCAAGGCAGGCATTTCAGTGGACAGTGATGTAGAGAGAGATGACTTAGCCTAGAAGTCCTATTGAAGCTGTGATCCACGTAAGCTCGTCATTTTTGTCAATCCCCGCCCTGCCCTATCTTGACCTCCACTGGAGGAGCTGAGGTAAGACTGGGTCAATCAAAGCTTTACCAGATCACTGTGCAGAGAGAAGCTTTGGAGTCCCATGGGTTACATAACAACCAGGTGGCAAGATCCATCTCCAGATAACCCCCCTGGAGATCAGAGGAGCCTGAAGCTTATGTTTTTCCTACCAAGTCACCTAAGTCCCCTGGACACTACCTTAGGAGAGAAGCAACGAGAGGGGCGTTGATCTGAGACGTTGAGAAGATTTTCCCAGGGGGAGTAAGCAGTGCTCGCAGTGCCTAAAGGGACCATTTAAATGGTCAGATGAGATAGATTTTTAAAATTTATTTATCAGATTAGATATTTAATCAAACATTTGCTCCTTCACCCTGCTGACCATTGGGCGAGAATTCAAAAGGAAGGTAACATTAACTAGAAGTTGCACGAGCATATCATCGACAAAGGCGCCTTCGAAAGTTAAAGGGGGTGTTAAAAATGAACACAATTATAAATACGTATGGTGAAGAAAATGATTCAATTAGAATTATATCTAAAATAAAATTATAAAAGTAAAGAGAGCACATATATATGTATGCTTTAAAGCAAAATAAAAAGAAAACTGTATATTGATGATTTGGACATTGATATGTAATATTAAAAGAATCATCATTTTGGGTATAAATTCATGTACTGCTGTAAATCTGCTCCTTACCATTCATGTCTCCAATGCGCCACATCACTGGTATTTTCGGAGAAGAATATACATATAATATATATATTTTTTCAATATGCTTTATTAATTTCATGTTTGTTTACAATATTATTCAAAATTTCTTTTATTATTAAATTTGAAATTATTGCTACCTTAATTGACTCTGTAAATCACAGTCTTTAACAATGGAAATATTTTCCATATAGGTGCCAGTAAACACCAAGCAAGTTTGCTAAAGACACATATATGTATGTGTGTGTGTGTGTATGTATATATAATGTAGTTTAGCTCAAATACTTTCCCAGCCACTGTTATTTTACCTCCATTGTGTATCCTCTCTTGCCAAAAATCTTACAAGACACAAAAGATTAATTATACCTGATTATGATTCTTTTCACCAACTATAAATGCTGGAATTTTTAGGCCTCCTCACAAATCAGCTTCTTTCCATTCTGATGCAGAGTATAAATTTGCCCAATTAAACCAAGGAGCTCTGTCAAAGGAATCTTTTCTGAAGTCGAGATATTTCAAAAGAAAATTATAAAACTGCAAATGAAATCTTGTATAACATTCGAGCTCTCATTATTTAATTTGTCCAGTTTCCTTGCTTTTGTGAGCATAATTTTCAAAGTTCTCCTTTTTATAAGCTTTCAATTATTGCCATTTACTAAAAGCTTCAAAAGATGATTTGGGCGATGCTTCATTTGTTGAATGATTCGATTTAAATTTTTTCATCTGATCTTGAATGCAAAGCGACTAACACGTAGAAGACTCATTTATAAAAATGCTCACAGCCATTGTAGGAAGCTTAGATTGATTTACAAAAGAGTCCTTTGAAGGCTCAACTGTTCCTAGCCCTGACTGAAGGAGAGAAGCGAAGGGAGAAAGTGTAACCTGCCGTCCCCAAGTTCTTTTTGTTTGTTTTCAACATCAGCCTCATCACAAAAATATTCTCAGGGAAATGCAAATCAAAACCACAGTGAGATGCTGCTTTATGCCCACTAAGATAGTCAGAATAAAAAAAAGTCAGAAAATAAATGTCATGAGGCTATGGAGAAACTAGAACCCTCATACGCTGCTGGTGGGAATGGAAAATGATGCAGCCACTTCGGAAAAGAGGCGGTTCCTATGGTTAAGCAGAGTTACCTCGTGACCCAGTAACACCACTCCTAGCTATATAGCCAAGAGAAATGAAAACCTATGCCCACGCAAGAATTTGCTCACAATGTTTATAACAGCATTGTTCATAACAGCCGAAAGATGGGGAAAATTCTATTTTATTACCTTAATATGTGAAGATGAATAGATATCAATTTTGAAAACTGGAGTTTCTATTTTCATTGTTAAAACATTGCAGCTTTCTTGGGAAACAATTATAAATTACCTGTGCACCTGAATTCCAAATACATTTTGCTTCACAAATTGCTTATTTTAGTAAGAATTCTATGTTTTTAAAAATCACAATCTTGTCCTCCACCAAAGTTCGTATTATCACCACAAAACAAGTAATTTTATCTTTAGTATTTACTTAACTAAATTACCACACCATTTCAAGTAATATCAGAAGTTTTAGCTTGGACAGAATGAATATCTAAAAGTTTTACTTTGATTCCATGAATTGGATTAAAAAAATCAAACCATATTTGAAAATAATTTAATTGGTTTTCTGCTGAAGGCACCTGATGAACTGGTAGAAATATTGGTATTTTAGCTCTGTGGGAATGTCTCTCACTACTGGAGGCTGCCCAGGTGCCTCCACTGACCCCATCTGCCAGTCCTGGTCTGGTGCACTGAGCTGCTGGTAGGAGCCGAAGCTTCCAGCACTTACCTCGTCTCTACTGGATACTGGAAAGAGTGAGTGATCTCTGCCACCCCTGTCCACGCATCTACCTTTTGAATCCATTGACTTGCCCACTGTATTTGAAAGGAAGGTGCTAGCTACATTGTTTATTTAAAGATTTGGGAAGAAGCCGGTGGTGGCATTGGTCTTACAGGTTTAACCATGTGTTAAAAAGAGACTTCTACTCACTGCATTTACATCTCACAGACCTTGAGGAAACTAGTGCAGAAGCTTAAAGTGCTGTCTGTTTATCCACCCTAGATTATCTCAGTACAACTATTAATAATAATATTTCACTTGTAAACTAAACCATGCAGTAGAAAATCTAAACCAGAGAGGATGCCAGGGCAACTTGTGTAAACAGGGGCTGTTTCAACCCAGTGGATGACTGTAAATGAGCTACATTTTTTCTGCATATCAGAATTCTAGTGTGATGTAAAGTTTGCAAACCTCTAAAAATAAAATATTACATATTGGTAAAACTTAAATTATCAAGCTTCTGGAACTAGACAAGACTACAAAAAATGTAATTATTAAGAAGGAATCATTGAAAAGTGTGTAATTAAGAAACTGAGAACATCAAGAATCGTTTATGGATGGGACAGAATGATGTGACTTTTGGCAACAGAAACCTACAAGTCCATGAGATAATGGTTTCCACATTTTTAAAAAGTTTTTTTTTAATGCATACACCAACACTTCTCATTTGCTGGAGTGGGGAGACAGTTCAAGTAAAGGGGTAACTTGAAGCATAAATGGAGGGGCAAGTTTACGGATTCTGAAAGCTTTAAAAATTTTTTTTAAATTAATTTTTATTAAAAAAAATAGAATTTATTGGGGAGACATTGGTTAATAAAATTATATAGGTTTAATTGTGCAATTTTATAATTCATCATCTGTATATTGCATTGTGTGTTCAAGACCCCAAGTCAAGTCTCCTTTTATCACCATTTATGCCCCGCTTACCCTCTTCAACCTCTCCCTACGCTTAAATGAGAAGAGTGTGAGAAAATGCTGAATTAAGTAATTTCTCCAGTAGAACAAGGAGCTGAATTCCAATAAAGCATGAAAAGTAGTAGAGAAGGCATGGATAGGTTTCAGAGGTATTAGGAAAGGGTGGTTGGAAAGGAAACATCCACCATATACAGAGCTTTGGCAGAAGAGTGGCCATGGGAGAGATGGGGAAAACAGAAGGAAGCCTGGCATGGGTGGGTGGGGGGTGGGGAAACAGCTCATTAGCTGACCTGCAGGGCAATTAAATTGAATTTCCTATCCTCTGGTTATGAATGTCTTCTTGATGTTCGCCAGATAGGAGAGGGGTGGGGGAATGAGTGAAACGGTGAAGATATTAAGAAGTACAAACTGCCAGTTGCAAAAACAGTCATGAGGATGTAAAGTACATCATAGGGAATATAGTCAATAATATTGTAATAACTACGTATGGTCCCACAGGTGGGTACCAGAGGTATTGGGGTGATCACTACGTAAGTTAAATAAATGTCTACTCACTATGTTGTACACC